ATCTTGTCATTGTTATTTCTGTTTACATTCTTGATATAGCTGTACTTTTCTACAGTTATACCTTCATTGAATTTCTTTCTGAAACCCCTTGGGTATAGTCATTCCTTTCTTCAGCTCTTTGATTTGCTTCAAGAACTCTCTGAAGGGCTGGTTTTGTGGACATGAAATCCTTTAGCCTATTTATGTCATGGAAGATTTTTCTTTTCCCTTCAACTATAGTAGACATTTTGGCTGGGCATAGTAATCTGGGTTGGCATCTGTGGTCATTTAAAACTGGGAATACTTTGGTCCAGGCTGTTCTGGGTTTCATAGTTTTCACTGATAAGTCTGCTGTAATCCTAGTGGGTTTTCCTTTGTATGTGACTTGTTGTTTCTCTTTTGCAGCTTTCAGTATTGTCTCTTTGTTTTGTGCACTTGGTCTTTGTTTTGTATGCGTAGTGTTTTCACTATGATGTGCCGTGGAGAGTTTTCTTTTATGGTTCTGTCTATTTGGTTTTTTCTATGCTTCTTGTATTTGTATGGGCATGTCTTTCTTTAATTTGGGGAAATTTTCTTCCATCATTTTGTTGAAGATGTGATCCATGCCATTATCCTGGGACTCTTCTCCTTCCTGTACACCTATGATTTGTAAGTTTGGTCTTTTTATGGTGTCACACAATTCCTGCATATTCCATTCTTGTGCTTTCTTAACTTTTTCATAATCTTTGCTTGAGTTGTCTAGTTCATCCACTTTATCTTCCAGTTGATACTCTGTTTTCCATTTCATTCATCCTATTGTTGAGGCTTTCTCTTGTCATTTCTAATTGGCTTATGGAGTGTTTCACTTCATTCTTTATTTCAGCCTGAGTATTCTTCAATATTTCTAGCTCTTTTCTGAATTCATTCAGAAGTTTATCCCTATCTCCCTATCTTCCTTCAGTTCTTTGATTTCTCTGTGTGTTCTTTAAATTCACTGAGTTTTTTTTTATCATGTTTATAATTGTTCTCTTGAGTTCCATGTCCTGCTTTATCTCTATGGGGTTCTCATTGTACTCCTAGAGGAGTATTAGTATTTTGTGGGGATATGTTATTTTGGTTTTTCATGTTTTTATTTTTTCTCTGTGATTTTGATATGTGAATTTCTTTTGTAGTTTCTGATTATTGAGTGAGACTCAAGCCTTCTAGTTTCGATCTGCTTCTTTTTGTGAACTTTATGTGTCTTTGTGGTTTACTTTTTGGGCATGAAAAGCTGGTTCGTCTAAGGTTCCTGTTCTCTCTTGATTTTATATTGGAGTGGCCAGATTGCTTTTGTCTTCAAGCGTTCCCACAGAGGCCCAAGTTAGATGAGGATCAGATGCTTTCTCCTAATGTCTGGATCCATCCAGGAAAGATTTTGGCCTCTGGAATTTGGGGGTTGGACTGGCTTGCCGGGGCCAGGAAAGATGTTGGTCTAGGGTAGCTGGTGGCCATGCCACCCAGAGATGCAGAGGATGGTGGGGGTGGGAATCAGCTCCAAGGGCTCCTGGGGACTGCACTGAGGAGCTGGGTTGGTCTGGATGCAAAGGATCAGGAAGAGGAAAGGTCAGCCCCGGTGTCCAGGAAAGAGGCCCTTGGGGTCGTGTATTCCCAGGGAATCAGAGGGAGGTGAGGGCCGGGCAAGGCCCAGAGTGCTCCCGGGGACCCGAGAAGGAACTGGTACTCCGTTGGTCTGGGTGCAAAGGATCAGGAAGCAGTGGTTGTTCCCACGGTGCCTGGGGCGTCAAGACAAGGAATGGGACAGGACCCTGGCCAGGAGGAGAGACTGGCGGGGCATTTGGGAGGGTTAATGAGGCTGGGGGAGTCAAGGGGTGGAGGGTGAGATTGACTTAACCCTGGAGAGAGGCCCGCGGGTTGTAGAGAGGCCTGTGGGTCATGCCCACCCAGGGAAGCAGCAAAGTATTTACTTTTAATGTTCTAGATCTTTTATGTGTCTCTTGTGCTGTTTCCCATTTTATCTCTATTGTTGTTGATTTGTATTTTCTTTCTTTGTTTTGGTTGACTGGGCTAAGGGTCTGTCTGTCTTGTTTATCTTTTCAAAGAACCAGGTGTTTAGATTCATTGATTCTTTGTATTGTTTTCTTTGTTTCTATTTCATTAATTTCTGCTCTGATTTTTGTTATTTCTTCTTGTCTGCTGGGTTTGGGTTTCATTTGTTCTTGCTTTTCCTGAGTCTTGAGTTGCAATGTTGAGTCATTTATTTGTGCTCTTTCTGATTTTTTTTGGGGGGGGGGCTGCTTTTTGAAAGTTTCCCTGTAGACCATGCTGGCCTGGAACTCACAGAACTCCAGCTGCCTCTGCTTCCCAAGGGCTGGCATTAAGGGCCACCACACCCTCTTTCTGGTTTTTTAGTGTAGACAGAGCAACAAACTTCCCTCTTAGGACTGCTTTCAAATTGTCCCATAGGTTTTATTGTGTTGTATTGTCCTTTTTGTCTAATCCCAGGAATACTTTTTTTTTCTCCCCTTCGGTGTTTTTGAGACAGGGTCTCCCTGTAGCCCCAGCTGGCCTTGAACTCAAAGAGATCCTCCTACCCCTGCCTCCCAAGTGCTGGGACTACAGGTATGCACCACCACACCCAACTTCCAGGAATACTTTTAGTTCTTTCTTCATTTCTCCTTTGCTCATCATTCAGAAGTGTGTTGTTTAATCTCCTTGAGTTTCTGTAGTTACTAGGGCTTCTTCTGGTGTTGATTTTAAGCTTTCTTGTGTTGTGTTCTGATAGAATGCACGGAATTATTTCAATTTTTTGTATTTGTTGAGGATTGTTTTGTGGCTTAGTATGTGGTCAGTTTTTGATAAAGTTCCATGGTGTGCCGAATAGAAAGTGTATACTGTGGTGCTTGGGTGGAATATTCAGTAGGTGTCTGTTAGGTCCATTTGATGTATGGTATCATTTAATTCATATGTCTTTTTATTTTTTGTCTCATTGACCTGTCTAATGAAGACAGTGAGGTCTTGACATCCCCTACTATTACTGAGTTGGGGTTAATCTGTGTCTTAAAGTCCTGTAGTGTTCTTTTTATGAATTTGGGTACACCAGAGCTTGGTGCATATGTGTTCATGATTGTAATATCTTCTTGGTTAATTGTTCCTTTGATCAGAATGAGTGACCCACTTTATCTCTCCTGATTAGTTTTAGTTTGAAGTCTATTTTGTCTGATGTTAGAATTGCAACCCCCAGCTTGTTTCATAGTGCCATTTTCTTAGAATATTATTTTCTATCCTTTTACCTTAAAAGTAGTGCCTGTTCTTGAAGAGGAGATAGCTTTCTTGCAGAAAACAAAAGGAAGGATTTTGTTTCTTAATCCTTTCAATTGTTCTGTGTCTTTTGACTTTGGAGTTCAGACCATTGATATTTACTGTTATTGAAAGATGTGTATCAGTTGCCATCATTTTTATTGGTGTTTTCTTTGTCTGATTTTGTGTTTCCACAATTATACCTTCATTTAGTTTCTTTTTGTTGCCCTTGGGGTATAGTTCTTTCTCCATTCTTTGTATTGCTTCAAGTATTCTTTGAAGGGCTGGTTTTTGTGGACATGTAATCTTTCAGTCTATTTGTATTGTGGAAGATTTTTCTTTCCCCTTCAACTATAATAGACATTTTTGATGGGGAAATTATTCTAGGTTGGCATTTATGGTCATTTAGAACTCTGAATACTTTGGTCCAGGCTCTTCTGGCTTTCATAGTTTACATTAATAAGTCAGCTGTAATTCTTCTGCGTTTTCCTTTATATGTATGCCTGGAACTCAGAAATTGACCTGCCTCTGCCTCCTAAGTACTTGGGTTAAAGGTGTGCACCTTTAGTGATACTTTAATGTCATTTTAAAGGTGTGACACCATAAAATGATACTTTCTTTTTTGGCCTTTTTGAGGTAGGGTCTCTCTGTAGCCCCAGCTGTCCTAGAACTCACTATGTAGACCAGGCTGGCCTTGAACTCACAGAGATCCTCCTGCCTCTGCCTCTGGTGTGCTGGGATTAAAGGTGTGTGCCACCATGCCTGACTCAAAATGATACTTTCTAGGAAAGTTTGGCCAAATGTTGATGGTATTTATCTGCTTGTAGCAGTATTTGTCTTAGTGTGCCAGAAAGCATAGGGAGAATGCATTTGACAGCAAAATGTACATGGCTTTATTTGTGACCAATCTCTTTGTGGACAAGGTTGGCCTTGAATTTAAGATTCTTCTTTATCAGCCTCCTGAGTTGCTGGGATTATAGGTGAGCACTACCACATCTGGCATATATGTAACCCTAGGCTGAGAAGATTGTCTTAATTTTTTTATATAATTTTTCTCCTGGCAATCTGACATGACATAGAATACAATGAAATTAAAAAAAAATTTAAATTATTTTTATTTTATGTGTATGCATGTATTGCCTGCATTTAGGTAAGTGCACCCATGTTGTGCAGTGCCCGCCGAGGACAGAAGAGGCTGTTGGATCCCCTGGAACTGGAGTTACAGATAGTTGTTAGCTACCATGTGGGTGCTGGGATTCGAACCTGGGTCTTTTCTGTAAGAACAACCAGTGTTCTTAACCACTATGCCATCTCTCCAGCCCACAACGAATTTTTAAAAATTTTATTTTATGCCGGTCGTGGTGGCACAACTTTAATCCCAGCACTCAGGAGGCAGAGGCAGGTGGATCTCTGTGAGTTGTAGGCCAGTCTGGACTACATAGTGAGTTCCAAGACATCTGGGGTACAGGGAGACCCTGTCTCAGAAAGACAAAAAAAAAAAACAACAAAAAAAAAAACCATATTTTATTCTCTCTTTTTCTCTCTCTGTGTGTGTGTGTGTGTGTGTGTGTGTGTGTGTGTGTGTGTGTGTGTGTGTGTGTGTGTGTAAGCATGGACACATACATGTCACACACAGAGGTCAAAGAGCAACTTGTAGGAGTTGGTCCTTTTCCACTGTGTGGGTCCCAGGGATGCAACTGAGATAATCACCAGCCTGAGTATAATGTGTTCTTGAACTTTACCAGCTTGTCAGAACTGTAGCCCGGCATCATGAGGAAAAGAAGCTTCGTGAAGAAAGAGGGAAGAAGGAAGAGCAAAGCAGACTAAGACGTATTGCTGCTTCCACTGCCCGAGAAATAGAATATTTTTGGTCAAATATTGAACAGGTAAATGCTGGAATGCTGGAATTTCAGTGGGGGTTATAAAAATCAGATGTGTCTAACCTGTGAGGCTGTGTGCTAGGGGAGAGAACCTCAGCAGCTATAGTAAACAGTGTCCTTGGCGGTATACAGTAAGAGGCCTTGAGCCCACTGCCCCTCTGTGCTGTTCCTTTGTAAGGTTTAGCCCATTCTAGCATCTGTGTTTGCCTTGTGCCCCCGGAAGCCACGGCATTGAGGTAATAGTATGGTGGGTGAGGGCCTGTTAGTTCGTTCTTGGAGTGCTGTGGCCACAGAAGGTAACATCTTTCTCAGGGTACCTGCTTGAGTGTGCACACTTTCTCTTTTTCAAGAACTTAAAAAGTTTTACTAATAGTTTGGGCAGGACAGAGTTAAATACAAAATAAATGGGAAAGGATCAAACTCAAGTTTCTTTTTGAAATGATGTGAATGAGGTTGGCTGACTGTACTTTTATACTGGTTGTCTGAGTTTAATGTTTTATGTGCAGGACTTGTGCAGTTTACATTCTTAATGACCTACTTATTTATTCATCTTTTTTTGTTTGTTTTTAGGTTGTAGAAATAAAATTGCAAGTAGAATTAGAAGAGAAAAGGAAAAAAGCCTTAAATTTACATAAAGTTTCCAGGAGAGGTATGATGTTAAAATTTTTTTTAATTATGTTTGTTTGTTTGTTTGTTTGTTTGTGTGTGTGTGTGTGTGTGTGTGTGTGTGTCTGTCTGTCTGTCTGTCTGTCTGTCTGTCTGTGTATACTATGGCTTGCAGGTGGAAACCAGAGGATAACTTTCAGAAGTGGTTCTCTCCTTCTACCATGTGGGTCCTGGGGATTAAATTCAGGTTGCTGCGTTTGGTGGCAAGTGTCTTTACCTACTGAGCCATCTCATGGGCCTAGGTCTGATACTTAAAAAACACTTTTTTTTTTTTTGGTCTTTTTAAGACAGGGTCTCTAGTCCCAACTGGCCTGGAACTCACAGAAATCTGCCTGCCTCTGCCTTCTAAGTGCCGGGATTAAAGGTGTGCGCCACCACACCTGGCTTTAAAAAACACTTAAAAAAAGTACATTTATTGGGGCTGGGGAGATGGCTCAGAGGTTAAAAGCAGTGGTTGTTCTTGCAGAAGACCCAGCTTTGAATCCTAGCACCACATGGCAGCTAACAACTGTCCGTAACTCCAGTCCCAGGGGATCCGACAGCCTCTTCTGACCTCTGTGGGCATTGCATGACACGGGTGCACTTACCTACATGAAGTCAATACACATAAAATTAAAAAAAAAATAAAAATTTTTAAAAATTACATTTATTTATTTCTTTTGTGTGTGAGTCCATCTGTGCCATAGTACACCTCTGTAAGTCAGAAGATGAGTTATGGGAGGTGGTCTTTTCTTTCACCATGTAGGTTCTGGAGATCAGGCTCAGATAGATGTAGTGGCTGGTACCTTTCCTGTTGAGCTGTCTCATTGGGATTTTAAAGACAGCTTTGATGAAGCTCAGAGGCGGAATACTTGCCTAGCATCTGTAAGGCCTTGAACTTACCTCCCAGTTACTAATACACACATTAATAACATGAAAATTCACGTTTTTTATATTATACTCTGTTCAGCTTCTGTGCTTACCAGGCAGCTTCCTCATATCATGGTTTTCCGTGGAGTTGCCCAGAGAGGTCATGGGTTAGGGAGACCATTTGCATGCATTTGTCCTGTCTGATTTGGTGCATTTTTCTTTGTGTAAACAATCTTGTTTTTTTGTTTTGTTTTTGAGACAAGATCTCTATGAAGCCCTGGCTGGCCTAGGCTTCATACCAGACTGTTCTCAACTCTCTCTTCTAAGAGCTGGAATTAAAGGCATGTACTATCATGCTATTTTCACTCTTTGGTTTGGTTTGGTTTGGTTTAGGTTAGTTTTGTGTGAGATAGGGTCTCCCTAGATAGAGCCCCAGATGGCCTAGAGCTCACTATGTAGAACAGGCTGACTTTGAACTCACAGAGATCTACCTGCCTCTGCTGGGATTAAAGGCATGTGCCACCATGACCAACCGGCTTTTTCTGCTCTTTTTCGATGTGGTAGTGTGAGTCAGCACCCCAAAATTGTCCAACTTGGAGTGCTTTCAGAATTTAGGTTCTGAACTGTTTCTGCCTTCAGTATCTGGACAGTGAGGTAGACCAAACTGAAGTATCTGCCAGAGCTGGGGCCCTTTGGGGACTGAGCTAGTGCACTGTCTCTGTAATCACTGAGATAGTTCTACAGTAGCTGCTCCCAGTTAATGAATACCTAGGTACATGTCAGATGACAACACAAATAGCATTCACTGTCTCCTCTGATCCTTAGAATGTCCCTGGAGGGGCTGGAGAGATGGGTCAGTGGTTAAGAGCAGTGAGTGAATGCTCTTGCAGAGGACCCAGATTAGATTCCCAGCACCCACAGGGCAGCAACAACCATCCATAACTCCAGGTTCAGGGGGTCATAACTCCAGCTCCAGGGGGTACGACTCCCTCTTCTGACCCCTGTGGGCATTGTACAACGCAGGTGCACTTACATATATCCAGGGAATATACTTATACACACAAAATAAAAATAATAAAATATTTTTTAAAAAGGAATGTCCTGGGAACCCTCATACCTTTCATGTTTTTGATGCAAAAGCAAACTTCTTGAGAAGTGTCCACTGCTAAAAGCTATCAAACTTGAAACTGAGAGCTAGGCAAAATGATACACATCTATAATCCTAACTCTTAAGAGGTACAGGCAGGTATTTGGGAATTTAAGGCAGCCTGAATGTTCAACAAGACCCTGACTCAAAATACAAAACTCAGAAAAGAAAGAACTGTAAGATGAAAACTACTGTTTTGGGTTACTGGGAAGAATGAGATTGAGCTTATGCAGGGGGAAAGAGGTGGAACTTGTACTCCTTGTCGTTTTTTGAGTGTAGGCAGCTACACAGGGCACAGTTTTTTGTTTTTGTTTTTTTTTAAATAACAGAGACTATCATCTCCCCACAGCTATGGTAAAAATAAAACTGTGTTTCTTGTTTCTTTAGGGAAAGAATCCAGATTAAAAGGATTTGATACATCACCAGAACAGTTTCTGGTAGGTTCAGGATTGCTGTTGCCCTGACACAAAAAATGGATTTGTAATTACCTAGAGAAATTAGTAGTTATGAATATTACCACCTTTTAAAAATAACTTTATTTTCTGTGTATTTCATATAATCTTAATCAAATTTAAACCCCCTCCCCCATCTGCATCCTCCTATACTTCTCCCATATACCAGATTTCATGCATTCTGTCACATATGTTAAGTCCTTTCTGGTCAAGCATTTGTATCCAGACCAGATGTCCTTCGGTGCAAGTTCATCCACTGGAGTCTAGTCTGCCTATCTAGAGTCTCTCAGGTCCGTTCTCCCTTACCCAGCAGTAATCAATTCCCAATAGTTACTAGGTTAGGGTTGGGGCCAGTTGCCCATTTCCTTCATTCTCTGATGGATTTTTGTCTGATTGAGTTGGGACAGGTCTTGTGCATGCTGTCACCTGAAGTCTACTTTGAAAATAAAGTAGCACTTTATAATTGCAGTTTCACTTGGGATGTGAATCCAGGGGTTTGAGAGGATCCAGTTGAACACAGTACTTGAAATTCTGTATCCTCACTCCTCCTTTCTCAGGGTCTATATCATGATTGCTCTAAGGATGGCCCAGCAAGTACCATGGATCTCTCCATTGTCCTTGTGGGCACAAAGCTAAATAGACACTCCTTCCATGACATCCCATTCTGTTATTTTAAATCTCATTTTAAATTTCTGATTTTTTTTTTTTTTTAATTTTGTTTATTTTTAAATATAGGATTTTCTTAAAGAAAAAGAAGAGCAAGCATATGTATTAAATCTCATTTTAAATTTCTGATTTTTTTTTTTTTTTAAATTTGTTTATTTCAGGATCCAGGAATATCTGGAAGGAAAAGAAAAGCTAGCATATCTTTGACCGATGATGAAGGTCTGTTTTCTATTCCCTTGATGCCTTGTCTTCAGAGCCCTTTAGATCACAGAGAGTGTGCCCCTTTGTGTTGTCAGACCACAGAACAGAACTGAGGTGACTTTGTCCATGGACTTGTTATTTTAAACTGGTTGGAAAGTTTAATCTTTGTATTTATCCAGGTATCTTTGAGTGTACAGAGTAACTTCTGTGTCTCCAGAGGACTTCAGGTGCTTTCTTTTCTTTATTAATTTTTGTCTTTTTGAGACAGGGTCTTCTTGTAGCCTTAGCTGACTTGGAACTTACTATGTAAACAAAGCTGGCCCTGAACTCACAGAGATTGATGGCATGCACCACCCCACCCGGCCCTTGGGGTATTTTCTATAGCAACATCTTAGTATCTTCTTTTGTGAGATCTAGAAGCCCAGGTGCATTTGGAGAGCTACAGAGGGATGATGCAGGGCCAGGTCTGTTCCTGTCCTCAAGGACTGGCCTTGGAGTATTAGGCTATATATTCTTGTTTTGAAGTCAGTTATGTTTGCTGTCCACCATTCCCACAGTCACCAGGCTGGGCTCTTTAGGAGGAGCCCCTGTCATGTTTAGATGTTGGCACTTGGTTAGAGTAGAATACAGATGTGACTCTCAGTGTGACTGGGAGACAGCCTGTGTTCATTTTTTAGCTTCTGACCTGTTTGCAAGCCACCAGTGCATTGTTGTACAAGTCTTCAGGACTATTCTTGGTTGTAGGAATAGAGGAAGGAAGTAGGAAAATAGTATTTGAGAAATTACAGGGCAGTGTGTGATGCAGCAGATGCTAGGTGAATGAGACTTGGGGGTCTCAACAGTACACTGGCTTTATTGGCTTCACTGGTAGACTGTGTAAACCCTTTTAGACTTTTGAAAAATTGAGGTTTTTGTGTGTGTTGATTCTTTTTTTGAGACGGGGTCTCATTATGTGTATCTGTCTGGCCTGGAACTCACAAAGACCTATCTGCCTATGCCTCCCAAGTGCTGGGGTTAAAGGTATGCACCACCATGCCTGTCTGGCTCTTTTATTTTTTTAGATTAGTTTAATTTTATGTGTATGAGTGCTTGCCTATATGTATGTGCATCACATACATGATATTTGTTGATTATTATCTGGAAATTTTCTGGGAAATTTGGTCAGATTATGGGTGTGGTGACTGTCAGGATTAAGTTCTACTGTAAAAGACAAACGAATAGCTTGGGTTCCATAGCCCTGCCTTGACATAGCAGCATAATGATGTTCTCCAGAGGGCCTCTTCTTCTCCCATTTTTTTCCTGTTAAGTCTTGCCTTTAGGTACTCTTCTAGGAAGGTGGTGCTGCCACTCAACTACTCTCTTACAGTTTGACTTACGGTTGTCACTTAAGACAAGAATATACAAGTGGAGAGCAAATCGGGTGCTTCCAGCCAAGCTGGTGTCCTCTTGGAAGGTCCTAAGCTGTGTTCCTGCTTGTGTCTTTCTGACTACATATTGATGTTGGGATGTGTCTGTCTGTGTAGCTAACAGAGGATGTGGTGACAGAGGAAGGATTGGGGAGCAAATGTTTTGGGGTAGTATGCAGTCATGTACAGTGATTTTATATGATTTTCTTTGTTAGATGTTTGACTGATTTGGGGGCATCTCCTTGTTAGGTGGTAGGTTAGTTAGGGGAAATGAGAGTCTTAGTAGGATCTGTTTTACATAATCGGCTTGTAGTAATTATCACCTTCAACTTGGGGTTTCTTTGTTTTGAAATAGGCTTATTTAGTTCCAGGCTGGCCTCCACTAGTGATGTCAACATGGCCATCACTTTTGTTTACTTTTCTTTCTCCTAAGCTATGTGTTCTATCAGTCAAATGATCAGAGGGGCAGGAGAAATGGCAGAATGAATTTCCAAGAGGAAGGCCTTAATTGGTGTGAGTTGAACCAGGCTGTTGTTTGTGGCCAGAACTGAATTCATCTAGGACCCAGGGACTTGTATGGTTGTGGCTAGTGCCTTGGCAACTTTGGTAGGTGGTAAAGGTTTTATAGTGAGGAACTAAGGAGTTTGGAGATACGGTAGAGATATTTGGCAGTGTGAGTGTGTTTTGTTGTAAAGGAAGGGGCAAGATCATTTAACTGTGGATGAAAAGAAGCTAGCTGAAGGAAGGACTGCTGCCAAGGAGGGAGGGTATAGCTTCTCTGGCAGGTTTCCTGACCCCTGATGTGACTTAGGAGGGAGGCAGAAACCCCAACTCTTGTGGTAAGTAGTGCAGAGTTCAGAGTAGGGCCTGAAGAGTGAGCCAGTCTGAATTGGTAGCATAGGAGATGAAACATAAAAAAGCTGAAGGGAGCATACACATTGTATCTGGGTAGTGGCCATTCTCTCAGGGTGGGCAGTCATGAATTCCTAGGGTCTCAGCAAGTGTACATGTGGCTTTTCTGCAGTAGGTAGGAAGTTTATCAGCACTTCGTGTTACCTTGAGTTAGGTCTATTGCATATTGAAAAAACAGAATATGAATGACAAGCTAAAGTGTAAGGGAAAATGTTTCCCAATTGCCACTAACAAAGTATTGTTTCCAATACTTTGAAAAATTAAAGCATTTGCGTTCAGTTTCTTTAATAGCGATGCAAACAATTTTGAAGCCTAATAGTGTTTAGAAACACTGAGAAACTGAAGTAGAGCTTTGCATGTTCCTGACTTCTGATAATGACCATTTCAGTGGAAGATGAAGAAGAGACCATCGAAGAGGAAGAAGCACATGAAGGACTTGTAGATCACCACACAGAACTTTCTAATCTGGCCAAAGAAGGTAGGCTCTTACTATCTGAGTGAAAAATACTGTTCATTAAACATTAAGCAGACACACAGGAACATTTGAAGATAATGTCAGATACAAATTACAGTAGTATGTAGAGTATGGTGCTGCCAGGTTCTGGGAAATAGTTCTCTGGGTACTCCTTGTTGAGTCCCTCCTGTCACAGTAGTGACAGCCAACTTAGACTTTGTGTTGCTGTCTTTCTATCCCCTCCCACATCTGTGAGTCTCCCTAGCCAGTGTTTGAGACTTCATCAGAACTTCTGTGAATGAGATTATAAGGTATGTTTTGCTCTTCCTGCCCAAATGCCCTGCTCAGTAGTTTTTATTTTTTAAATTAAAAAAAAATTACTATTTTTATTTTACGTGTATGAGTATGTTACCTGCATGAATATAAGTGCACCCATGTCTTTCAGTGCCCAAGGAGGTCAGAAGAAGGCGTCGGATCCCTTGAAACTAGAGTTATGGACAGTTGTTAGCTGCCATGTGGGTGCTGGGAATCAAACCCCAGTCCTTTGCAAGAGCAGCCAGTGCTCTTAACCGCTGAGCTATCTCTCCAGCCCTTTCTAAAATTTATTTTTATTTTATGTGCACCCATGCGTGTAGTGTCTGGAGTCCAGAAGAAGGTGGCAGATGACCTGGAACTGGAGTTATGTATGGTTGTCGGCACTGTGTGGGTGTTGTGAACCGAACCTGGTTCCTTTGCAAGAGTACCCAGTACTTTTAACTGATGAGCTATCTTTTCAGCCCCCCTGTTCAGTAGTTTTATCAAGATTGTTGGGTATTGCTGTCAACATATTAGCTGCCTAGAAATACCGTGTTTTACTTATAAACATGTCACCATTTTCTTATATACTGTGGGCTTGGTTCTAACAGTGCTACTGTGGGTGTTCCTTACTCTGTGCTATGTGTACAAATGGCTCTGCATGTACTCAGGTATGGAGCAGGTATGGAGGCCATGGTTGGCCTGAAGAATTACGTAGCTTGTGCCAAGCTGCGTGCTGCACTGGTATCTGCTGCCTTGGAGACTTCTACACAGCTGGTGATAAAAATAGTATACCACTGGTGGCCTAGAATAGCAATTCTCTGATAGGTATTTTTTCATGTCTGTGTTTAGCTCATTTGGGTGTTGGGTGTCCTTTTCCTTATTGACCTATTTGAGTTCTTTACATACTCTAGACATGAATTTTCTATGCTTAGGCCACAAGGATACTCTCCTATAGCATTTGATTTTTTTAACTTAAAAAATATTTTAAAATTTATTTTATGTTTGAGTGTTTTGCCTGCATGTATGTAAGTGCACTCGTGTATGCAATGTCCATGAAGACCAGAAGACAGCATTGGATCCTCTGGAACTGGAGTTAGGGACCCACTATGTGAGTACTGGGAAACAAACCTGGGTCCTCTGCAAGAGCAGACAGTGCACTTAACTGCTAAGCTGTCTGTCCAAGGTCTTTCAAGGTCTCCCTGTAACCCCAATTGTCCTGGAACTTACTATGTAGGCCAGGGTGGTTTTGATCTTGCAGAGGTCTACCTGCCTCTGCCTCCTGAGTGCTGAGATTAAAGGTGTGCCACTATGCCTAGTCAAAACTTAAAAAATACTTTAGGGGGCTGGAGAGTTAGCAATTAAGGGCACTTGGTTGCTCTTGCAAAGGACCTGGGTTTCATTCCCAGCACCCATGTGACTACTCATGACTGTCTGTAACTCCAGTTCCAGGGGAATCCAATGCCCTCTTTTGACCTCTGCAGGTATTGCACAACACAGGTGCATTTACATACATGGAGACATTATACTCATACCTATAAAATAAAATAATAAAATATTTTTTATTTTTTGTTTTTTAAATTTATTTTATTTTAATTTAATTTAATTTTATATTTTTGTGGTCTTTTTGAGACATGGTCTCCCTGTAGCTCCAGCTGTCCTGGAATTCACTATGTAGACCAGGCTGGCCTTGAACTCACAGCTCACAGAGATCACTTGCCTCTGCCTCCCGGGTGCTGGGATTAAAGGCGTGTGCCACCACTCCTGGCTTATTTATTATTTTTATGTATATGCCTGTATTGCCTGTATGTAGGTAAGTGCACTCATGTCATGCAGTACCCGAAGAGGACAGAAGAGGCTGCCAGACCCCCTGGAACTGGAGTTATGGACAGTTGTTAGCTGCTATGTAGGTGCTGGAATTTCAAACCCCATCTTCTTCAAGAACGGCCAGTGTTCTTAACCACAGAGCCGTCTCTCCAGCCCCTTAAATTTTTTTTTTAATATTTTAAAAATATTTAAAAATATTTAGGGCTTGCCAGGTGTGCTGGCCCATGCCTTTAATCCCAGCACTCAGGAGGCAGAGGCAGGTGGATCTCTGTGAGTTTGAGGCCAGCCTGGTCTACATAGTGAGTTCCAGGACAGCTGGGGCTACAGGGAAATCTTCTCTCAAAAACACCAAAAAAAAAAAAAAAAAAGGTGTTTAGGGCTCAGTGCTTGAGAGCGCTGGCAGCTTTTATAGAGGACTCAGATTCAGTTCCCAGCACCTGCATGGCAGCTAACCATTGTCCTTAACTTCAGGTCTAGGGGATCTGACACCCTCTTCTGTCCTCTGTGGGCATTACATGATACAGGTGCACTTAAATACATGCAGACAAAAAACACTCATACACTTAAATTATTGAGAATTTCATACATGCATATAAAGTATTTTGATCAAATCCATGTCCATTCCCTCCCCTCCAACTCTTCCCATATTCTCCCATCACTTTTTTTCTGATAACTTCATGTACTCTTTCTTCTTTTATTATTTGTTTATTTATTTAATTAATTTATTTTTGGTGGGGGGACAGGGTCTCCCTGTAGTCCTAGCTGTCCTGGAACTCACTATGTAGACCAGGCTGGCCTCAAACTCACAGAGATCCACCTGCCTCTGCCTCCTGAGTGCTGGGATTAAAGGCATGGGCCAGCAC